TTTTTGAGTCAGGTTTTGTGCTGATCCTTACAGACCCATTACAGAATCAGGATATTTTGAACCACTTTAGCCAGGATTGCCTGAAACTTGTCAAAGAGTTTGAGAAAAGAGCAAGGAAGAGGGCTACAGGAACCACTTGCGATTCAACCTGAAATGCAGACAAAATGGTATCGTTCCCAAGAGTCTGGAACTGAGCTTTTCTCCCTGTACACCAACTGCTGCACTTCCAGCCATGACTCTGAAACTTATTAAGTTTGCAGATGACACCATCTTCATCGGGCTCATCTCGGACGGTGATGAGTCTGCATACAGGAGGGAGGTGGACTGGCTGGTGATCTGGTGCAGCAGGAACAACCTGGAACTCAATGCCCGGAAGACAGTGGAGATGATTGTGGATTTCAGGAAAGCCACAGCCCCTCTGCCCCCTTTCACCTGTAATGATACGCCCATCACCACTGCAAACTCTTATCGGTTCCTCGGCACCACCATCACCCAGGACCTCAAGTGGGAGCCGACCATCAGCTCCCTCATCAAGAAGGCCCAGCAGAGACTGTACTTCCTGCGACAGCTGAAGAAGGCCAAGCTGATGGTGCAGTTCTACACGGCCATCATTGAGTCCATCCTCAGCTCCTCCATCACGGTGTGGTACGCCGGGGCCACTGCCAGGGACAGACGGAGACTGCAGCGCGTTGTGCGCTCAGCAGAGAAGGTGATCAGCTGCAGCCTTCCGTCCCTCCACAACCTGTACGTCTCCAGGACTGTGAGGCGAGCAGGTCGGATCACAGCTGACCCTGCTCACCCTGCACACGGACTGTTCGAACCACTCCCCTCAGGCAGGAGGCATCGGTCCATTCAGACCAGAACCTCCCGCCATAAGAACAATTTCTTCCCCTCTGCTGTTGGACTCCTGAACACTCATGTTACCTCATAATTTCTGCTTTGGTCACATTACATCTGTATTATAATTGAATACTTCATCTGTACTGTTTTCTAAGCTTTTTATTGTTTTCTATTGTATGGGTGTACACATGTTTATGTTATGTTTTCATTTTTACTTTATTTGTGGGTGTATACAGGTCTTATGTCTTATGTATTGTTTTCATTTTTAATTTATTTTACTTTATTACTATTTGCACCTTATGTCGAAGCAAATTCCTAGTTTGTGAACCTCGTTCATTGACATGGCAATAATAAACTGATTCTGAAATATTCTGTCAGCGGGCACCGGGCAAACAAGATCCTTCAGAAGTCACAGACCCAGCTGCTGAATGAACGGGTGAGACAAACCAATTTTACTATTGAGGCCTTGAAGGCCAAAGAAGAGCACGTTAAACAACAACTAACAAGGTGCCTAGATCAGACCACACTTACGCAAGTGATGGACTGTACAGATCAGGCATGCTTAGCACAGCATGTCAAGTCCAAGACTCAACAACAAAACAAGTTTAACTTACTGATAACTCGTCAACACCATCACAATTCCAAATATTACAATCAGTGTAAGACAACACTCCAGCAGACAGTTAAACGACAGGGAGACAGAAAAGTGCATGAAAAATTTATCTGACAGACAGCTCATCCAGCCGGAGAAAGAGATTCTTGCCAGGGGACTGAACTTTGCGGATGCACCAAGAAGAATTCCTCCGGTGGAGTTGATCGCAGCCACTGAGTCAGCCATCCGCAACAACAAAATTAAAGAGTGTGAGGCAGAACAACTCACAATCAAAGTTTCAGCCTGCCTCAGCAATGCCAAATCACCACCTTCCAACATCAGTAGAGAGGAGAGGGATGCACTCACCACTCTTAGCAAGGACAAAAACATCATCATTCTCCCAGCAGACAAAGGAAGGTGCACATTGATTTTGAACCAGAAAGACTATCATGAGAAAGTTATGACACTCCTTAGTGACTTAACTACTTATGAGCCACTGAAAATAGATCCAAGAAGTAGCTACAAGAAGAAGCTGATAGATTGCCTGAAAATTTTGGAGCAGGACAAGTCTATTGACCATATTCTGTACCTCAGACTGTACCCAGGGGAGGCCACGCCTATTCTATATGGCTTATCTAAAATCCACAAACAAGGTATACTTTCAAGATCAATTGTCAGCATGATTAACTCTGTCACAATATGCTGGTGAAGATTCTCAGTCATCCAGGACATGATGAATTCAAAAAGTGTTCAATACAAAAACAACTGGACTTTATTTGTAACAGAAGACGTTTCGCTCCTCATCCGAGGAGCTTTCTCAATTCAAACAGCAGTGAGTGAGAGATTCAGGTTATACGGCTGAGTGAGATAAGACACACACACATATGTAGATTGGCAATTCACACCTAAACACCTTAACAGTAGGGGTTTCTTAAAGTCTTTGTTACTCTAATCACAGACGAGGCCCCTCTGTTCCCATCTGGTGTGAAAACTGGCTGGGAATCAGTCCTAAAGTTGCATTATATGTTTTTGAAAGTGGAAATATGAGGCCTCCTCCCCCGTTAAGAGACGGCTTTTCTCTTTTTACATAAATTGCTTCCTTCACCCCCCTCTCAAACATCTGTGTTCTCGGTCCAAAATGTGCACATTTTGGTCCTCAAAAGAGTGTCCCTTATCAGTGAGGTGGAGGTGAACAGCTGAATCATGTCCTGAAGAGGTGGATCTCCTGTGTTGAGCCATGCGTCTGTGAGGAGGCTGTTTAGTTTCTCCAATGTAGAGGTCTGGACAGTCCTCGCTGCACTGGACCGCATACACTACACCACTCTGTTTGTGTATGGGTGTTTAGTCCTTAGGGTGGACCAGCCTCTCTCTGAAAGTCCTGCTGGGTTTGAAATGTACTGGGATGTTGTGTTTGTTTAAAATCCTTCTGAATTTCTCTGATACTCCAGCAACATAAGGGATGACAATGTTTTTACATCTGCTGATCTCCTTTTTCTGTTTATTAGTGTGTTTTGTAGATTTCCTTGCTGACTTGACAAAAGCCCAGTTAGGATATCCATATGTTTGGAGAGCTTCTTGAATGAGTTCCTGTTCCTGGTCCACCCAAAGGACAAAACACCCATACACAAACAGAGTGGTGTATTGTATGGGGTCCAGTGTAGTGAGGACTGTCCAGACCTCTACATTGGAGAAACTAAAATGCCTCTTCACAGACGCATGGCTCAACACAGGAGAGCCAGCTCCTCAGGACAAGACTCAGCTGTTCACCTCCGCCTCACAGATAAGGGACACTCTTTTGAGGACCAAAATGTGCACATTTTGGACCGAGAACACAGATGGTTTGAGAAGGGGGTGAAAGAAGCCTTCTGGGGGCCGTATGATGAAGCCCTCCGGATAGAGGGTGAAACAATTCTATAAAAAAAAGAAACTGTCCAGATGACACGACTGAGAAGTATTTTTAATTTTTTTCATCCATCCATCCACTTTCTTCCGCTTATCCGGGGTCGGGTCGCGGGGGGAACAGCTTAAGTAGGGAGGCCCAGACTTCACTCTCCCCAGTCACTTGGGCCAGCTCCTCCGGGGGAATCCCGAGGCGTTCCCAGGACAGCCGAGAAACACAGTCCCTCCAGCGTGTCCTGGGTCTTCCTCTGGGTCTCCTCCCGGTTGGACGTGTCCGGAACACCTCACTAGGGAGGCGTCCAGGAGGCATCCTAACCAGATGCCCAAGCCACT